CCAGCAGGGGAAGGGTCAGCTATCGCCCCTTCTCCGCTCCCAAGACTTGGCTCCTGCCTTCACCAGCCCCAGCCTCCCCGGAGGGTAACAGTCTCACTACTGCTGCCGGCAGAGGGAGCGACTCCCTTCGCTCAGACAGCCCCCAGCCCCAACTCCAGCAGCCCCACGGCTGGCACTTACTGGGTCTGGAGGCCCGGGGGCTCCCTGTGGGCGCGGCGAGGTAGAGGGTGTAGTGGGCGAGGTGCCCGTTGCGCTGCGCCAGGGGGATCGCCTCCCACGAGATGACGGATGCCTCCTTGGAGATGCTCCGATCCTGCAGGCCCTGAGGCCCTGCCGATGGCACTGGGGGGATGGGGACGGGCTGTGAGCAAGAGCCTGCGGTCCCCACCCCCCTGCCCTCGCGCCCAGCGTCTGTCACCTACCTCCCTCCTGAGTGTAGGCTCGGACGGGGGCCGAGGCGCCAAAGCCCTGGGGGTACAGCCCGTAAACTCGCACCTGGTACGGCACCCGGGGTCTGAAGTCACCTGGGGCGGGGGAGCAGTGGGAGACAGCCTCAGTGCGGGGGGGGGGTCCCAATCTGAGCTGTTGCTGCCGAGTCCTGGCTTAGATGTGCAAAGCAGAAATTCCCTGCCCCCCGGAGGCACCGGACAACCACGCCCCAAAGTCCTGGGCCTCCACCCCCCCATCCCTTGGGGCAGCTGGCTTCTGAGTCTCATCTTACCAAAGGGGAAACTGAGGCACCCAGCAATTTCAGGCAAAGATCCAGGAGTTATGACCGCCAGGCCTCCCAGCTAGCCCCTGCCCTAACCACTGGACCCCACTTCCCTCTCAGAGCTGGGGATAAAACCCAGGAGTCCTGGCTCCGAATCCCCGCCTCCTCCACTCTAACCGCTAGACTCCACTCCCCACTCCGAGCCAGAGAGAGAACCCAGGACTCCCAGCCCTCCTGCTCTAACCACTAGACCCTACTCTCACTTGCAGAAGGCCTAACAGTTGCCCAGGCCCTTTGTTTTCCCAGCAGTGCCAGGGGCTGGGCGGGGCGAAACAGCCCCCTCGCCCCAGAGTGCGGCGTGCAGGGCGTCCGTAGCTGGCTGCCCAGGTACCTGTCAGCCGGGTGCTGCGGGTGCCAGCTGGGCTGCGCACCCAGCGCAGCGTGGCCGCCTTGGCGCTGCCGCACTCCTCCGCCCCCTCCACCAGGTACTCCAGGGGCTCCAGCCGGTCCTCGCTGGGGTCCCAGGTAACCCAGAGAGCCTGGCCCTGCACGGCCACCGCCCGGACCTCCGTGGGGGCGGGCAGATCTAAGGGGAAGCCACAAGATCCATCACTTGGCACAGCTTCCCTGGGCCCCCCTACGCC